GGGCGGGCGGGCGGGCAGAGCCCTGCCCCTGGCAGCCTCTGCTCCCCTTGCCACCTCTGCCCTACCAGCCTAGGGTTCTGTGCTAGTGCCCGAATGTAGCACAAGAGAGGACTAAGTGTGACTTAAGCTTGAAGCCCAAGCCTGAGCCACCTACTGTCTTTACTAGCAGAGAAATGACACACCCCTATTTTTCTTTATCAAAGGGTAAGGTATGGAAGATAGCTTTTTCTTGCTGTTACCCCTGCATAATCACCTGGGGCTCTGAGTCATGGTAGGCTCCATCCCAGTGCATCAATAAATGGTCTGAAAGGCAAATTAGGTTTTCAGATGCACCTATTCAGCCCCAACTGCTATACATTTTGCCCCTTGACAAATGTGCAGCCTCACCACCTTCAGGTATTTTGCACTAGTATACATGAAGTACACCTGTTCTGCACTAGAGTACCAGCAATCCTGTTATAATGCACAAGGGGAGAGCTTTAAGATGAATTGTTTCTTCTAACAAAACTAAAACTCAGTGAAGATTTGGGTTCACTGCTACAGTCGGAGGATATGGATGAATACACAAGAGCAGATGTGTTAGCAAGTTGTCATTTCCTATTAGGCGCATGTCAATTTACTGAACAATAAAATGTTACTGGTTAAAATACTTCATGAAATGGACATTGTAAGAGGAAGAAACTGCTTCATTTACCACCTGTCCGTAAATGTCAAAGAAATTTTATTTGTAATTTCCTTCATCAATTTCAAGCACTTGGAGGGTATCCTGAAAACCAGCCCAAAGCTGTCTCAATTCAGACTGTGGCTCTTAAGAGTTTGTTCTGTGTTGGTACAAGCAAGGTAAAAGCAGATAGGAAAAAAGCCCAAAGATTCTCCATTTTCTTCTAAATTTTTAAACCTTCGCCTCAGTTTTGCTGTCTGGATGGTCTCTGTGCATAAACATTTGTGAAAGCTGAAACCAGAAATCAGGTGTTGAAATCAGAAAGAGTTTTGCTGCCCACTGGTGGCTTTTTCAAGCTAATTTCCATGGAAACCAGATACTAAATATAAGCTTGAAATACAAATGTGAAAAATTCTCCTTTCCTTTTTTTTAATTTCTAATTCCAGATTTGGATTAGAAAATATTGCAGCTAGGCATCAATAGGGAGAATAATTATAACCACTCTGTTTCCAGTGGAAAAACTCATCCTTATGTTTTTGGGTTCATCTATAGATTTAAAAGATGCATTTAGTTGTTCCTTATGCTCTAAGATCATGCCACCTTCTCCCCATATTAGACTCTAGACTGAGTTAAATCCTTGGTATGAGGGATTTCAAACCACAGCATACTTAAATAATATAATGCTTAACTTCAAGCATGTGAGTAGTTCCACTGGATTTGGTAGGATTACTCATGCACAGAATACGGCGCCCACTTTGCTAGATTGTTACTTATTGCACAGCTGGACAGATGCTCCAGACTCCCCTATTTTTATTGTAATCCCTTGTTTATAATGGTTTCTAAATCTACTCCATCTTCTCCCTCTACAATTTGTCTCACATATATGAAGTGCCTGATTTGTCTTTCACACAACTATTTTGTGTTTACTGACACTGCATTCAGCTTTTCAAGCTGCTTTTTATAAACTAGAAATATTGTAACGAATTTACCTGCAAGCATGACCGCAAAAACATGGAGCCTCTTGATTCTTTCCATGGTTATGCAGGTAGAATTAATGCATGGAGTGTGTCAGCCTTTTATAATTGGGTAACTGTAAGACAGCAACATGGGCAAATCTGTAATTTGAGACATTGTAAATATTTTCCAATCAATACATTTTCCATCATGAGATTATTTAAAAAAAACATGACCTTCACTGTATGTCATTTAAGGGTTGTCTAACAGATAAGACAGACTGTTAGTGCTGGTAGGAACTGAATTTCTTTTCCACAGGAAGTTCTCCATCCAAAAACCAAAAAACAAACAAAAAAAAGAAAATACCCAGCAAAATGAAATCTGCACTTTTTTTGATTCAATCACAATATGCCATATAGGCAGTGTTTACTTTTAAGTTTGACTTATTTTGATATAGCTTATAAAAGAATATTTTGAAATGAAAAAAGAAATCAAAATGATTTATTTTAATAAGTTAAGAAATGGTATGTTTTGACTTCACTGAAGTCAATTCTCTAGTCGTTCTCCAATAAAAGTTGTGTAAAAACAATGTATTCCCATGAAAGGTTTAAGTTTTATGACACAGCATTTCTAACAGAAAAAAATAAACTCCAGAAAGAAAATGTCTAGCTTTTCTGCTGGCAACAGCAGCAACACAAAGCTCCTTAGAACTAAAGGACTGAATGCCTCAGTTTGCTTCTCCCTGATAATAAAATCCCTGATATTAGGAAGAAACTGCTGGACTTAGGAATTCTGCCCCCAATTCATCACCAACAGTTCTAATGAGGAAAAACTGTCAAAACACAGCACAAGTGTGGCTGCAATGTCATTTCTTGGACTTCCTTGGAAAGTTGTGTGCTTTGTAGATGACACCGTAACTGTATACATCTCACACGTGGCATGTACATACCTCATCATGGCTCCGGGGAAAGAACCCTGAAGTGTGAAGCTCTGAAAATCCAAGACCTTTGGGTTGCCAAGGAGAACTGACCCACCTAAAGTCAGATATGTACATGGCATTTATTGCCACTCACACAGATTTAAATCTTAGTCCTGGGCAACTAGACGTGTCCTTCCGAGAATGCTCAGAAGGGATCCACTATATCCACTTACACTTTGTTTCAATTCTGTTCCACCAAGGAAAGAGGGGAATTTTGAGCAAGTCCCTAAGAGTATAAACAGATGTCGCCAAAGCAGCAAATCAGCTATTCCAAGATGTGACCCAGCATGGTTGATCCACTTCATTGGATAAAACAGATATTGCCCACTGTCCCACAGGCTTGGTTCCCTGAGGCAGGGGGCATGCCTCTGCAAACAAGGGACCTCCGGGTTTCAGAGAAACATAGAAAATTAGGGTTGGATGGAACCTCAGAAAGCCATCTAGTCCAACCCCCTGCTCAAAGCAGGACTATACCCAACTAGATCATCCCAAAGTCTTAAAAAACTTCAGAGGATGGAGATTCTACAAGCTCTCTGGGTAACCTGTTACAATGATTTACTACCCTCCTCATGAGAGAGTTTTTCCTCAAATCTAAACTTCCCTTGCTGCAACTTGAGACCATTATTCCTTGTTCTGTCACCTGCCACCACTGAGCGCAGTCTAGCTCAGCCCTCTTTGGAACCTCCCCTCAGGTAGTTGAAGGCTGCTATTAAATCCTGCCCCCCTGCAGTCTTCTCTTCTCCAGTCTCAGTGACCCCAGTTCCATCAGCTTCTCCTCAGAAGTCATGTGCCCCAGCCCTCTAATCATTTTTGTAGCCCTCTGCTGGACTTTCTGCAATTTGTCCACATCATTTCTTGAATGGGAGTCCCAAAACTGGACACAGTACTCCAGATGCCGACTCAACAGTGCCAAACAGAGGAGACGAATCACTTCCCTCGATCTGCTGGCAACGCTCCTAATAATGCAGGCCAATATGCCATTAGCCTTTTTAACAAAAAGGGCACACTATGTTGGCTCATATTCAGCTTATTGTCTACTGTAATCCCCAGGTCCTTTTCTGCAGAACTGTTGCTTAGCCAGCCAGGCCCCAGCCTGTACCAGTACATGGGATTGCTTGGTCCTAAGTGCAGGACTGTGCACTTGTACTTATTGAAGCTCATGAGATTTCTTTTGGTCCAATCCTCTAATTTATCTAAGTCTCTCTGAAACCTAACCCTACCCTCCAACATATCTACTATTTCCCCCACCATCTGCAAACTTGCTGAGGGTGTACTCTAATACCCATCTTCCAAGTCGCTAATGAAGATTTTGAACAAAACTGGCCCCAGGACCAACCCCTGGGGCATTCCACTTAGTACCGTCTACCAACTAGATATTGAGCCATTGATTACTACCCTTTGAGCCTGACAGTCCAGCCAGTTTTCTATCCCACCTTACAGTCCACTCATCCAACCTGTACTTCCTTAGCTTGCTTTCAGAAACATTGTGGGAGACATATCAAAAGGCTTGCTAAAGTCATGGCATGTAATTTCCACTGCTCTCCCTGCATCCACAGAGCCAGTCTTCTCATTCTAGAAGGCAATCAGGTTGGTCAGGCATGCCTTGGTGAATCAATGCAGACTTCCTAATTACCTTCTCCTCTAAGAGCTTAGAAGTAGATTCCTTGAAAACCTGCCCCACAATTTTTCTGGGGACTGAGATGAGACTGACTGGTCTGTAGATCCCTGGATCCTCCTTCTTCCCTTTATGAAAGAAGAGCACTGTATTTGCTCTTTTCCAATCATCTGGGACCTCTCCCAAACACCATCATTTTTCAAAAATGATGGCCAGTGGCTCTGCAATCACATTAGCCAACTCCCTCAGCACCTTCAGGTGCAGTGTGTCCAGCCCCATGGACTTGTACACATCCAGCTTTTTAAAAAAATCCCTAACCTGATGTTTGGCCTCTGTTGGCTGCTCACTTCCTCCCCAAACTGTGCTACCATATGCAGTAGTTTGGGAGCTGACCCTGCCTGTAAAGACTGAAGTGAAAAATGTATTGAATACGTCAGCCTTTTCTACATCATGTCACTAAGTTGCTGTCCCCATTTAGGAAGGGACCCACATTCCCTTATCTTTCTCTTGCTGCTGACATACTCATAGAAATCCTTCATTACCCTTCATGTCCCTTGCTAGCAGCAACTTCACTTGGGCTTTGGCCTTCCTGACTTCATCCCTGCATGCCCAAGCCATACTCTTATACTCCTCCTCAGTTGTTTTTCCAAGTTTCCACTTCTTGTAAGATTCCTTTCTGTGTTTTAGTTCACTGAAGAGTTCCCTGCAAGCTGGTCTTCTGCCATACTTGCCAGTCTTCCTGCATATTGGTATAGTTCATTCCTGCTCCCTCAGGAAAGTGTCTTTAAAATACAACCAGTTCTCCTGGACTCCTTTCCCCCTTGGACTGGCCTCCCAGGGGATCTTGCCCTTCAGTTGACTGAATCAAAATCTGCTTTTCTGAAGTCCAGGGTCCTTATTCTGCTACCCTCCTTCCTTCCATTTCTTCCTGAACTCAATCATATCATGGTCACTGCTGCTCAAGTTGCCATCCACTATTGCATTCCCCACCAATTCCTCCCTGTTTGTGAGCAGCAGGTCAAGAAGAGCATGGCCCCTAGTAGGCCTCTCCAGCACTTGCACCAGGAAGTTGTCCACAACACTCTCCAAAAAATTCCTGGATTGGCTGCACACTGCTGTATTGCCGTCCCAGCAGATGTCAGGTGATTGAAGTCTCCCATGAAAACCAGGGCCTGTGACTGGGAAACTTCTGGTAGCTGTTTGAAGAAAGCCCTCCTCCACCTCATCCTCCTGGTCTGGTGGTCTATAGCAGACCCGCACCACATCACCTTTGTTGCTCTCCCCTCTGACCCTAACCCAGAGACATTCAACAGGCCTGTCTCCAGTTCATACTGAAGCTTTGAGCAATCACACAACTCTTTTAGCAATAGTGCAATTCCTCTTCTTCTTCTCCCTTGCCTGTTCTTCCTGAACAGTTTATACCCATCCATGACAGGACTCCAGTCCTGCAAGCTATCCCGCCAACTCTCCGGGATCCCAGTCACATCATAGATCCAGGACTGTGCAAGGACTTCGAATTTTTCCTGCTCGTTTGCCAGGCTCCGTGCATTTGTGTACAGACACCTGACGTAACTAGCTGATTGCCCTCCTTTCTTAGGAAGAATGAGGAGGCCTCCCGCTGGTGTCCACTCATGCTTGTGCTTCCTCCAGATCACTCCCTTCCCCACTTACCTCAGGGCTTTGGGGTGTTTATACATGTGCTCTGGGAGGGAGAGTGGTTCTGAGAGCATCACACATATCAGTGTCCCCACACTGAAAAATGGTGGCCAGGGTGCTTTAACTAAAGCATCAAATGAGCTTTAGTTAAAGCACCCCCGCTGCCATTTTTCAGCATGGGGACTTTGATGCATGTGACGCTGAAGTCTGCTGGAACATGGCAATTATCATGTTCCAGCAGTTTCAATTAACTGATTCTGCTTTGACACACTGTAATTACAGCACGTCGGAGCAGCCTCGCTGTACGTGTATAGGTACCCTTGGTCTCCATCACTGAGCAAACCTAGTTTAAACCACTCCTCACTATGTTAGTGAGCCTGTCTGTGAAGAAGCTCTTCCCTCTCTTCGTCATGTGGTTAGTCTCTTCCTAGCAATCCCTCTTCTTGAAACAATGTCCCATGGTTGACAATGCCATAGCCCTGCTGGCAACACCATCCGTGTAGCCATGCATTGATCTGCAGGATGCATCCATTCCTGCCTGGGCCCTTCTTCTTGACCAGGAGGATCGAGAAGACCACCACCTGCACTTGTCCATTCACCCTTGCACCCCAGTCACTTTTGATCTGCTCAGGGTTATCCCTGGCAGTATCGTGGCTGCCCACATGGATGAGCAGCATAAGATAGTAGTCAGAGGGCCAGACAAGTCTTGGTGATCTTTCATGACAACTCAGATCTGGACTCTAGGCAAGCAACAGACCTCCTGAGAAAAGTCAAGCCAGGAGATGGATACCTCCG